GTTATATATGCAAAACATACATGTATGCGCCTACACATACAGTTCACTAAAAGCATGCACGGCTGCATCACTGCGGCTTCTCTGCGGCACCCTGTGCTCCTGGTTTTCCTGCTTGTCTCAGTGTCAGGAGAAAATGCACGGAGAGACCGTTTTACCCACAGCATGGACATTTTCAACCCAGGTCTCAAAAAAGTACCTGGTGGCAGGCGCCCTCCACTGGCCATCACCTTGACCCTGGAGGACAGGGCGGGGCGGCCCCTGTGGGTTTCCGAGGCTGTCACTCTTTACGGGAGTAGAAAGCCTCCTCTTTCCCCTGAGGAGCGGCTGGTGGTTTTGAACGGCTGTCCTTGTTCTTTAGCAGCGTCATGCATAACCGCTATGCCACTCCCCGCTGGCTTTTAAGGAAAAGTGCCCTGCCTCGGTTTCCCTGGTAATATCCCAGTGTCTTACACTCCTCTGGCAATAACCAGCCCATCCGTGCTGGAGCACCTGTTTGGTGCCGGGGAAGGCAGGTCTCCCCCAGGGAACTCGCAGTCCACCAGGTCTCTCCGCCACCACGGTTCCCTTTAAAAACTCAAAGCTCTAGAAGAGTTGGAAGAATCACTTTCACCCATTCATGAAATGGAGTCCTGAGCGTTTTCTTCTGCATCTCAACTCTTTCACTCTATTAATACACACATTCCTTTCTCCAAACCATTCATAAAACTGGGCATTATGAATGGGAACGAACCCAAAGCCCAGTGGTTCGAACCCACCACCCGTTCCTCCGAAGAACGATGTGGCAAACTGCTCCCATAGGGATGACAGGCTTGGAAATCCTCCCGCAGCAGCTGCCCTCTGTCCTACAGGGGTGCTGGGAGCTGAGATAGACTTCAGGAAAACACGTATGATACGAAGGGGCTTCAATGGGATTGTGGCAAAATTCTATTATTTTTCCCCCAGGAGTATTATATTTATCTTTAATATGAAGTGATTTCAGTAAAATAAAAGAATGCACAAAGTTTTATAACTAAACAGTACTAACAAACTTTCAATAAAATCAGTAGCCTATTATCTCACGCCCTTTAAAACTCATTCCTCCTTAAAGGCACTCATTTACTTATAATTCTTTTTTTAAAACTGTTGTTGGCACTCCATCCACACATCATGCGATTCAATGGTTCAATTGTATCAAGGAAAGCGGCACAATCTTCCCCACACTCTGTCTTAGGACATTTTCTTCTTCCTTGGCCTCTATTATCTCTGAATTCCATGTTTCCACAGGCAGTTTGAAGTCCCCGTGTTCATGGGAAGTTGATTATTAAAAAGGTTTGCCTTTCTAAAACGGGAACCAGGGAGGGTTACAGACGAGGCTTTCTACTCCTAAAGAGCTGGGGTCTGGGAAGCTCGCAGCGGCAGTGCCACCCTGTCCTGTAGGGTCGCTGTGAGTCGGCATCGACTGATGGCAGTGAGTTTGTTTTATCCTAATAGGAGCACTGGTGGCATCGCTGGGCAAGCGTTTGATTGCTACCGGCAAGGTTGCTGGTTGAAACCCACCACTGTATCTGTGGGAGAAAGGCGTGGCGATGTGCTTCCAAACGAGGACATGCTTGGGGATCCTATGGGGACAGTGCTCCGCTGTCTATAGGGCCACTAGGATTTCCAGGTTTGGAACTGACTTGAGGGCAATGGGTATCTTACGAGGGAGGGGCTTCTCAACGTTTGTGGGAAAATTCTGTGGTCTCAATTCCATTTCCCCACAAACATTCTGAAGTCTCCACACATAAGGGCAAACCACTATTAAAAGGGTCTGAATTCCTGAAGTGGGAAGTAGGAAGGATATGCCCTACAA